AAACAACCTTACTCCAGGGGGTATTTCTTATGGGTTCACCACCAGTTGTTTAAAAGTTCAAATATTAACGAAATTTGGAATTTTAAAGAAAAAAAAAAGAAACTGAACACACTATCTGCATGAGATGTCATGATAACTGAAGTTACCAAACACATTTCGGTTTGTCTTGTGAGGTTACCAATTTATTTATAGACAAGAACAATGTGTTGATGCTGAGCTATAATAGATCATAGTTAAAAGTGGGATTCCACTTTAGGTGAAACCTTCGGTGAAATCGTTCCACTTTTATTTTAAAAAACAAATTAAGAATTATAGCTCAGCATTCTACATTCCTAACTTAGCGTGTTCAGTTAAAGCTGAATGCCTGGTTCTGTACATCATTGTGCTTTCAATAAATTGCTAATGACATACGATGATGAGTCTTGATGATTAACAGAGATGTATTTACAGTTCAATTACTATGCAAGGGTTTTTATATAGACTTGTAACTTCCTCCACGGTTCAAAATAATTAAAAATCTCTAAAGCTATATAAAACAGTTTATTATACAAGGTTGATGTACATTTTCTCTACGGAAAAGTTCTCAAGTCTTGGCCTTCTTTTTAACTGGCTCTTCACAAGAGTCATTTGGTGAAACACTGAAGCCAGGAATCTGAAGTAAAAAAAAAGTAATTATTTTGCCAAATCACTCCTGATAAACATGAAGAATGTGGTGTCCTTGGTTTACACTTCATTGTAGGAAGTAATATCTAAACTTGTGTCATTCATGCCTCCCACCTTTTTTTTTTTATAAATGAGTGAGTTAAGACACAGGTACACGTTAAAATGCTAAATATGTTGTAGTAATTACTTATTATTTTCATTATTGCAATACAGACTCAACCCTAATCACTGATTTAGATAATAAAGTAAAAGTCACCAATAAATAACTTGTTACCTCTGGTTTTACTAATTGCAGTTTCACTTTCTGGTGTTGTATATTAGAGCTGTCTATAGATACCCGAACAATAACAGGATCAAATTGTCGTAGCTTAACTCCTGCCCCTGTTTGTGAAGGTTCCTGATAATTATACAAACAACACAACTATTAGAGTTACATTTTTCACTTGCACACAGTTCCTGTGGCCTTAATATTATCATACCTCAATTGTCATTAAAGCAAGGTTTATCAGTTTTTGTACAGCAAAAATAATGAAATGTATATATACACACACACACACAAACAAAAACTGTCACTTTCCATCCTCCTAGGGTTAAAACAATGATTTTTTTTCTTTTGTTACAGAGCAAATCTCTGAGCCATAAATTCATACTAAAATAATATGAAGTTTAAAAAGACAGAACTTTCTGATAACAAATTGGTATATTCAAACCTTTTCATTGAACTGGAAAGGAACAGGTCCAGGAGATCCATTTGAAGGTTTAAGAAAAAGACTGGCTTCCATACCAAATCGGGGTAACAGAATCTGCAGTGCATTTTCTCGGACAAATAAGATATACCCTTCTTCGTCTACTGCACGATCTTTGAAAAACATCTATAATAATTTCAAGTTAAGTCTCATTCACTAACAATGGAATCCACATATTGCATCAAAATGAAATGACCAATTTTTTTTATGTCAAATACCTAACGTACTCCAGCAATAATTAGTGTTATGGTGGAGGGATGTAACCTTATGGACCACATCATTAATTTGACACTTACAAACCTAACAAAATCATTCCCATTACTGAACTACGGTATTTTTTATGAATATTCACAGTAGTATATCTTGGCTTAACATAATCTTCCAACAGATTTGAGAAGCAGGATTAAACGAGTCCATCTGTGGATTAATTTCTAAAAGATGATGTAACCAGAATGATAACTTACGTGGGTGTACAAGTTGACCGAAGCTCTGCCAGCATACTGACCCATCTTGTGTCTGTAGTTCAAGTTGTTACATATAGTCTGTAAGGAAATAAAAAAACACCTACATAAATTCCATTGCACTCGAAGTATTTTTCAAAATACAAGCTTTGCAGTGTATCCGATATGTTAATTACTTGTATGGTTCTAATCACAAAGTAAACATTTTATCACGTGAATAACCATGTACTGACTGCCGAGTTTAAATCCTTTGCTTTATAAAAATGTGTTCATTGTTAAATTAATGGCAAACTTCATAAGATTTATATTACAGGTCCTCGTGCTGACCTTGGAACTATTTCCTTCATCATCAATAGTTCTCGTCCGATAACCATTATTACATACAATTACTCAACACTGAAATATCCATTGTAACAAGCTTCTGCAAGAATACTGAGGTTAATTTCAGACCACACCTCGTGGAACACAGAAATTCTAGAGGGTATAATGAATGAATGGGATATTTATATTTCCAGTTTTTTTTGGCCATCTTTCCCAAGATGTGGTTGGTAACTTGTGAAAGGTACAGCTTCGAGTGTACAGATGAGGTGTCGTTTCCAATTGGGTGCCACAAATGCTTTCTTGTGCTGGGATTTACCATTGAAGTCTTCTTTCCTTGAAATGTTGTGTCCATCATTTAAAAATCATGCTATGTGGATATTTCTCTTCTGAAGGAGTGTTACATATTCCTCCAACCATAAGTTCAGCCATAGTGGCACTGCACTTTGTACTATCAGGTACAAGCTAAAAATTACTTTTGAAATGAAAATAACCCTCTGTGTAATACCTAGTTTCCTGCAATTATCTTAATAATCTCGAAATGTGAGCAGGCCAAGACTGCACCTTCTGAAATGGATATGAAAAAGTTAATAGTCTCACCTGGGTCTTTATCTTATCCAGAAGTTCAGGATATGTGGTATCAGCTCCAATAGCAGCTGCAAGTAGTCGGTGGACAAGAACATCTGAATATCTTAGAAATTGAATAAATTTTAATTACTTAGTAGTTTATTTGTTCACACTTTTAAGAATTATTTTTCTTTAAAGTTGCTACATATGTCTAAGCTTTCTCAAATAAAAAAAATTATAATCAGATATTCTTGAAAACGACAATATGATTAGACTTATATTTATTAAATGTTCTGAAGAGCTTAAAAAATAATCTATTTACTTCACAATAAGTTCTTCTAAAATGGATTATATCTCAATTTGTTTTGTTTTTTTAATTTTCATAAAGCAAGACCTAGAATAATCTAAGGTTATATCGTATAAACAAAGACTTTCAAATGCACTTCTTTCATGATAAAGTTTCGTATTCCTCTGTGTATAACAGAGAAACATTTCAGAAGTATTATATATCATTGGTGAAATATTCATTCATAAATATGTCAGTAGTGAAGAAAATGTGCACTATAACATCAAACCATACATATTCTGGTGTATTGGCAAATGTTTACATGCCGTGAAATTTAATTACATTAGTTGAAGCCGACAGAGAAATCTACGACTTTGTATTTAGTTGCATATTAGTAAGAACAGAAAAATCAAAAACCGAAATGTACGCTTATTCTTGATTTATGAAATCAAATGGAAGAAACGTATACTGATAACACTCTGTATTTCAGTATTTGTATTTATGGCAAAGTTACTAAGGCTGTTTGTTTGTCCTCCTCCCTAATTTTGAACAGCTGACAAGAAGAAAGACAGTCAATCAACAGCACCCACCATCCATGCTAAGGGATTGACTGCCACTCTTTTAACATACCCCCACAATGCAGGGAATGTTTAGTAGGATCACACATATTTGAACGTGGCTCGCCAGTTCCAAGATACTGATAGTACATTAATTTCTTATTGGGTAAGCTAAGTATCATTCTTGTTAAACCGAAAAGCAAGTAATCAGTACATTAATTAACACCCTAAGGGTCAAAGTGGGTTAGGTTTGGGTACAACTTTCTAATACATGAAGCAAATGAAATGTAATTATTAACTGATCTCCTCCTCCTATCTGAGGGTAATTGGATTTAATTACAAACACAAACAGAAGAAAAAGTAACTGATTATCAGCACGTTTTCTGATAAAATCCTGGAACTTTCGTTAGGTCGACATGTTAAGAGTTCACTATAGTTTTATCAAGCTTTTATAATGTGATTTACAAAATTTTTTTTTTTTTTATTCCCAGGTGTCTTTTTACTATCATAAAACTTTTTCTTGACATATGAACTGTATGTATGAAATAATTACTACTAAATTAATGAGATGGGTGTTTAAACATAAAAATAACCTACAATCGGTATGGTGTGAAGACCTTTTCCAAACTGGTAAAGCACTGATTATAATTAATTATACTTGACATTAGAATTAGGTATATTATATTTTTTAACATTACATTTTTTTTTATCTAGTCCCTTAGGGAATTAAAAGAATGTATAATAACAATATTTTCACCATATCTATTCCCGATGAATCCAGAGCTCATCTGCTTACAAATGGCTTGTAGTGTGTTCTGAGACAACTGTGTTTGAGCTCTGTATTAAGGAAATTGTCATCAACAATGGATGTGGTGAACATAGTGTGGTTGAAATACTATTATTATACACTCTTTTAATTCTTAAAAAATCCCTATTGTACTGAATAAAGAATGTTGTGTTAAAAAATATACTAAGCCTAATTTAAATGTCTTATATCAGGTATAATTAATTATAATCACGCTTTGCCATCTTAGACAAGGCATTCACACCATAATAACTGTTGTTATAACAAATGGCTTACATAAATATTGTTTCAACCATTACTGCATTTGTCGTGTTCCAGCCAGCTTGATTGAGAAAACCATATTTTCATAGTGTGGTTTTAAACATTGTAGTTATTGTTTAGGCAGAATATTCATGATGAAATTTGGTTGAATGGAACGGCAACTGTCTGTTGTAGAAACACGAGTAGAGAGGAAGACGTTTCGAAAGTTGTCCTCTATACCCTTGTTTCTACAACAGACAGTTGCCATTCCATCTTACGTCAAGTATTATTGGTTATAATAAAATGATTCTAACCTCCTGATGGGTGAGGTGAAGTGGGTGTACAGAGGAACAGCCAGACCATAGTGTGGGTAGTCACTCTCAGCTACCATGCCACTACAGAAATACAAAGCTTGGGTCATACACCTGGTGGCAACCATTCTTAACATTATGTTGAAGTACAGGTTGTTTGAAATAACAGCTTTATCTAGTGAGTCAGCCAGAGCTTTGCCTGTTTCAATGCTTATGTCAAATCCCTACGAACAAAAGAAGTAGCAGAATTAGTTAAAACAAACATACAAAATTTGTAAGAAAAAACAATAAACTCTAGAAAGAAAAATAACTTTTTCTAGTTTCACAAAATAGATTTAAAACAACTTAAAAGTTTGGTATCTTCCTTTGAGATGATTTATAAAAATATTTAAATGTAAATGAGTTATTAAATAGTTTTAAATTTGTATTCACTTTGTTTTCAAGAATTACGAATTTTCTGTACATCATATTATAGCTTTAGCATCACACTACCAAAAACTAATAAGGATTTGAAGTACCTCTAAGTTAGGTAACATTATCTTGTTAATTGTAAGTGCTGCCCTCTGCTCTTTCATACACACACAAAAAAAATTTCAACATTAATTTACTTCATACAACATTTTTAAAATTTAATATAATTTTAACAAAAAGTTGTTTGATTATTATTCTCATTTTGAAACATTGCTTTCAAATCGCCAGTCATATTTTGACACCTAATGTCCAGATCGGCAGTCATATTTTGACACCTAATGTCTAGATCGCCAGTCATATTTTGACACCTAATGTCTAGATCGTCAGTCATATTTTCACACCTAATGTCTAGATCGCCAGTCATATTTTGACACCTAATGTCTAGATCGCCAGTCATATTTTCACACCTAATGTCTAGATCGCCAGTCATATTTTCACACCTAATGTCTAGATCGCCAGTCATATTTTGACATCTAATGTCTAGATCGCCAGTCATATTTTGACACCTAGTGTCTAGATCGCTAGTCATATTTTGACACCTAATGTCTAGATCGCCAGTCATATTTTGACAGAACAGTTTCAAATCAGTGGTCTCTGTTTGACATAACGTTTCCAGATTGTTCTTCTCATTTTTACACATCTTTTATAGATTTTGTTTGTCATTTTTAATGCAGTGTTTATAAATTTCCCGCTATTGTAACACACATTTTCACGTTTCTTGTAATATTTTTGCACAACTTTTCCAGATTGTTGATCTTATTCCAAAGTAGATTTTGAGAACTTTTAAGGCTGCTTATGCCATTCTGTTGCAGTTACACAAATTACAAATCATGACTCACTTAAGTTTATGATTTATTACATCTCTTAAAAATATATAAAACCTTAAGTTACGTTAAAGGTTCGTCTGTACTAGTGGGAACGCAGCAAGTCACAGCACCCACTGCCAATTCTTCAGCTACTCTAATCAAATAGTAGAAACTGGCCATCATTCCTATAATGCACCCACAGCACAGAGCACAATTTTGCAGAATGGATAACAAGCCTGGGATTCACGGGCCATGCCCATCCCTACTTTGGTTTGTTTTTAAATGCAAACCTAAACAATAGTCTATCTTCGCTGAGCCAAATGTGGATATCTATCATGGTATTTAGCATTATAAGCCTTCAAGCTTACACATGAGCCACTAGGGGGACTTGTATTAAAGAAACAGATGGTATTCTACCTTTAACTCTGCAGCCTTAATTAATGAATCAAAGTTAGCCGGTGGTGGTTCAGGATGTCTTCGTAACACGGCACACTCTGGAAATTCCTCCAAGATCTTGTGAGCCACAGATATGTTGGCCAGTAACATAAACTCTTCCACCATAGAATTAGTTTCCCTGGCCACAAAAAAAAAAAAGGAATCACGAATCTTACAAAACTAAGGTTTTTAGGCCTAAGTATTCAAACAAAAAATATTAAAAATAGGTTCTACAAATGATTTCTTAAAGACACACGTACAACAACTACAACTGTAGTTGCAATACGAAAATCTGTGAAAAGTGGTTGCATATTTTGCATTTATTTTTCAGTTATAACAAAATTAAACTACAAAAGTCTTTCATAATTGAGTTTTTTGATATCATATTGAACTTTTCATGTAGAAAATAAAGAAAAAAATTCTAACAAAAACAAACTTTCTAAAATAAAATTATACGTTTTTTTTTTCAAGAATAATTTTCCTCAACTCCAACCTCAGGAAAACTGTTTTTTTTTTATAGCAAAGACGGTTTTTTGTGAGCCTTACAATAAATTATAAACAGGCTTTGACAAACTGAACCTCTGCTAACATAAATATAACTTTATTATACAAAATCCATTATCTTAAGTTGATTTTTTTATTTTGGTAAAAACATCGTGGTCTTTCACAAGAGACCATAGATATTTGAAAGGGGAGTTATTACTTAAAATTCACGATTTTAATCAGGTACTAACCTAGCTAGTGTCGTAAGGCAGTGAAACATGAGTTAGGTATGTTAAATGGTAAAACAGAGAAAAAATGCCTTCATTATATACACATTCACAACATCGAGTTCTTACTTAAGTTCTTTTGACTGCACATCAATTGGATCATGAGTCTCAGAATCGACTAAAAACCGTACTTCGGATGACGCTAGAGTGAGAGCCCTGAAAAGTTCAAGAATTTTAGGGTTAGTTGATTTTAAGATGTAATAACCTCAAGTTCATTCTCTCCATTAAGAGATATACAAATATAAAAAAACCTAATGTATATATATATATATAAATAAACTATAGACATCATGCTGAACTGTTTTTATGATTTGACACATTAACAGTAAAATAGGTCATTTTTGTAATACAAGCAACTGATTACAAAAAAATTTGTTTTTTTTCTATTTAAAGTTAAAAATTTACCCATTTTCTATTCTTTGCCTCTTCAAGATTTTTGCGAGGCTATTGAGAGACCTCAAACTTTCAGTTAGTTCATCATGAATTGAATAATCATCAATCTTCATCTGGGCTTCCATGTATGTTAAAGCTGCCTACAATGTAATAAAACAAAAACTCTGTAAAAGTTTAACTTTAATAATCTGTTAATTTAATCCACATTTTCACTAAAAGTACCTAGTTTTGATACGAAATCAAATCCGGCCACAGTGTTTAAGTTTAACCTTAATATTTTATTTTAATACAATTTTTAATTAAAATTATTTAGTTTTTATACAATATTTAATCAGTCTTCAATAAAATTTTAAAAACTCAGTTTTATTATTTTCTTTTAATGCAGATATTTTAGTTTTGAAAAATCCAGACACATTACTTATGTATGCATATTTATAAATCCATATATACTTTTGCCTGATTACAAAAACTGCCATTTGATTACTTGCTGTTGAACTGAAGTCAACTGTTTACCAACAAAAAAAAAAAAAAAAAAACTTCCACAAATTGTCCTTACTTTGAAAGCCAAAAACTGGTATCTATTTCCAACAAATGTAATATTAATTCATATACAGCAGACAATAAATAACACAAAAGATGGGCCCCTTCTTCATAAAAAGCAATTGGGCCCCTTACATTTATTTCCCTATAATTATAGTTACAATTCTGGCCCACTTTTGGCTTGGACCTCCTGCAATTTTGAAGTTGCAAGGGAATATTTACACCACTGACAGCAGAGTGGTTATGTTAGAGTGATACTCGATGTCGAAATATAAATATAACTCAATGTTTGCAACAGATATCAAATTAAATATAACACCAACAAAGATCTTCTACACAATAAAATGAAATATTTATAAATGATCCTGTACTGTTTATACAAACAGTTACAGTTCGTGTTACTGGGTTATAGTTCACATTCATGAGTTACAGTTCATGTATAAACGATCCTGTACTGTTTATACAAACAGTTACAGTTCGTGTTACTGGGTTATAGTTCACATTCATGAGTTACAGTTCATGTATAAATGATCCCGTACTGTTTATACAAACAGTTACTGTACATATTATTGGGTTATAGTTCATATTCATGAGTTACAGTTTATGTATAAATGATCCTGTACTGTTTATACAAACAGTTACAGTTCATGTATAAATGATCCCGTACTGTTTATACAAACAGTTACAGTTCATGTATAAATGATCCCGTACTGTTTATACAAACAGTTACAGTTCATGTATAAATGATCCCGTACTGTTTATACAAACAGTTACAGTTCATGTTACTGGGTTATAGTTCACATTCATGAGTTAAAGTTCATATTTCTGGGTCATAGTTCATATTCATGAGTTACAGTTCATGTTTCTGGGTTATAGTTCAAGTTCATGAGTTATAGTTGATGTTCCTGGCTTATAGTTCATGTTTTCTAGTATCTGTAGAACAACATATGCTTAACATTGAATTTCCAGTTGAATCTACTATGTTTTACAACACAATGTACGGAAGAGTTCATTAACGTATGTAATAATGCCTGAAAATGGAACAGCTGATAATCGATGTTTGGCTATATTGTGTTATTCACCCTAAAGTAAATTTGTAATCCACCCTAAAGTAAATTTGATAATACATAAAAAAATGTCTCACCCTGGAGCAGATGATTGACTTATGAAAATTCGTTTTCACGATTTCAGCTTGAGGTGTCATCTCCCAAATACACGAAAAGGCAAATCTGATGGATACAAATATAAATGCTTTATACATAAAAGGAAAGATTTAAATATTTGAACATAAGAATATAGGTTTTAACACTGGCTATGTAGGACAAATGTAGAAAAGTAAAATAGATGTTAATATCACAACTTCACTCAATTTCACCAACACTTTACAGAATACTCACTTTTTCATAAGTAGTTAACCAATACGTCGAACATCTGTATAAATGTGGACACTTAAAACTCCAAAATCTATAAAATCTTTTCTTTTAAAAAGCCTATCTCACATTCTGATTTTTTTCCCTCCTCTAAAAACATTTTGTAACTCTGTTCGCCAACTCCCACTGTTGATGTCCTCAAAAAATAAAAAGGCAAAATATATGTGGAACTGTTATTTGCTAATCAATGGTCTCATTAATTGATTACATGTGATTAACTGATGAGTATAGTGTTCCTTTCACCATGGTACATAGAAGAAAAAAAGGAAAACAAATTAGCAGGGGGTGATGCCAGCCAGTAGCCTCCCCTCTAATTAGCAGTTAAAGAAGGACAAAATAATAATAACTGGAGGTGGGTGCTGTTAACCAATTGTTTCCCCCTCTCTTCAGCAGTTGAAATTTAGTGACAGTGAAAGACAGCCTTAGTAGTTTTACCATAACAAAGATAGGGTGAGCAAGTTTGATGGCAATAGGAATCGAACCCAAGACCTTCAAATCACGACCCTAAATTACCAATGCTGAACAAACTTGAAGTATGGAAATACAACTTATAAGGCTAAAATCGAGCACAGCACACATAGCTCATTATGTAGCTTTAGGCTTAACAACAAACTAGGCTTAACAACAAACAAACATTTCAATTACTTGAATAGTTGGAATAATCAGAACCAGTAACGATCATTTCGATTAGTTGATTATTTTTGTGGCGATTGATTTAACCATAATTCTGATTAATTGACTGTTAGAATAAGAGAAAACAGTAATAATTATAAACAATAATTTTGATCAGTTTATTTAATTGTATTTCGATTAATTGATTATTTTTTACTTTGATTAATTCTTCTATTTCTACACTTACAGCATGCCATTTCTACATATAACTTGTAAGATCTTGTTTTATTTTTGGATTTAAAATACAACTTCTAGAACTGCTATAAGTCATAATCATAATTACGCAAAAAAAACAAAAAACAAACAACAAATCGATTAGCACTGACACTGCGTGTAAAATATATTTTTTTAGTAACAAGAAAAACCATATTACGACACATTAACCACTAAAAAAGAAGTAATTTTGTAGCCTTGTTCAATAATATATTTAATAATCTTATGTAGTGAAATTTAGTTCAAACAACATTCTAACAAAAGAAATTCACGCATATATTTTAATTTTAGACCATCTACGTTTGAAAATTGTTTTTTAATTCATCAGGTTTACATACGAGTAAACTCAAAATAAGTTTAAACAATTATCTAAGGCACCAATAAAACTTACCAAGACATCACATAATGTAGCTTTATCTTTTGAGTATAACAAGAAAAAAAAACAACAACATTCATAACAGAATTTAATTTGGAATCTAAATTTTTAAGTGTGTGTGTAAGACTTTACTACAAGTTGTTTTTAGAATATTAAAATGTTCGATTAAAAAGAATTATCAGCAACGTAAGCTGTTTCTTTGTAGCAAATGCAACTTCAAAATTCACCGAAAACCAGCCTTTAGAGAATAAGTGTGAGATTGTTAATTGGCTTACAAATACAACATCTCACACTTAAGTCTTAAGTCTTATTTTGTTGTTTATGACTTAATGTATTTCAACATTATCTTATTGTTAACTGGCTTACAAATACAACATAAGATAATGTTGAAATACATTAAGTCATAAACAACAAAATAAGACTTAAGACTTAAGTGTGAGATTGTTAACTGGCTTACAAATACAACATAAGATAATGTTGAAATACATTAAGTCATAAACAACAAAATAAGACTTAAGACTTTTACATGTAAATCAACATGTCTTACCTATCTTCTTTCTCTCTAAGAGAACACAAGTTGGAACTTAGTAAATCTGGAACCATGTCTATTCTCTGTAAAACAAAAAAAAAACAATTTTTATGTCTTATTATATTCTGTTTAATTCATAGCAGTGTTGTTGCTTTTTTTTTTCCGATAATTCAGCTGTAGCCAGAACAATATCATTTATATAATGGAACTTACACTCTCACATTAAACAGTGATAAAAGAAGTTCTAAATGTGAGTTCAGAACAAGATCAGAAGGAAGTTAAACAGACTCTTTTTACTTTCATAACTGTCTTTGGTGTAATAAGGATACCAACTTAAACAGACTCGTATACTTTCATAACTGTCTTTGGTGCAATAAGGATACCAACTTAACCAAGACTTATTTACATTCAGGTTTAGTAGAAACACCAAGTTTGATAGATCTTACAATTCAGTTTAAGTAACTTCAATGGATTTTAGAGTTCAGGTTTAGTAGCTGTAAGTCATTCTATACTTTTTTTTATCCAAGTTACAGAAACATAATTACAGAAAATTAACAAGAAGAGCCATCAGGGACTGCTAGAACTTGTCAGCAGCAGGGATAGCAAGAGCTTATCAACATTGAGGACAGCAGAAGCTCATCAACAACAAGGACTACAACATTAAGGACAGCAGGAACTTAGCAGCAGCAAGGACTACAAGAGCTTAGCAGCAGCAAAGACTACAAGAGCTTAGCAGCAGCAAGGACAGCAGGAACTTAGCAGCAGCAAGGGCTACAAGAGCTTAGCAGCAGCAAAGACTACAAGAGCTTAGCAGCAGCAAGGAGAACAGGAACTTAGCAGCAGCAAGGACTACAAGAGCTTAGCAGCAGCAAGGGCAACAGGAACTTAGCAGCAGCAAGGACTACAAGAGCTTAGCAGCAGCAAGGGCAACAGGAACTTAGCAGCAGCAAGGACAGCAGGAACTTGTCAATGATAAGGATAGCAGGAGCTTATCAGCAGCAAGGACTACAGGAACTTATCAACAGCAAGGACTACAAGAGCTTAGCAGCAGCAAGAACAACAGGAACTTATCAGCAGCAGGAACTTGTCAACGATAAGAATAGCAGGAGCTTATCAGCAGCAAAGACTGCAAGGGCTTATCAGTAGCAAGAAATACAAGGGCTTATTAGCAGCAAGAAATACAAGGACTTATCAGCAGCAAGAAATACAAGGACTTATCAGCAGAAAGAAATACAAGGACTTATCAACAGTATTCATGTTTGTTCATGACACATATATATATAAATTATTGTTTTTATGGCAATGCTATTCAGGTTATCTGCAGCCATCCCTAATTTTGAAGTGCCAACCAGAGGAAAGGCAACAACTGGCCAGCAGCACCCACCACCCACTCTTGGACTACTCTTTTACCAATGAGTAGTGGGGTTGACCATCACATTATTATGCCCCCCACAGCTGAAAGGGTAGGTTTTGATCCTGCAACCTTCAGATTGCATGTCTAACCAATAGGCCACAAGTATACATAACTTATAAATGTAGAAGTTACAACTAATATATTTTGTGTTCATGTATATATGATTTATAAATGTAGAAGTTACAACTAATGTATTTTGTGTTCATGTATATATGATTTATAAATGTAGAAGTTACAACTAATGTATTTTGTGTTCACATATATATGATTTATAAATGTAGAAGTTATAACTAATGTATTTTCTGTTCACATATATATGATTTATAAATGTAGAAGTTATAACTAATGTATTTTCTGTTCACATATATATTATTTATTAATGTAGAAGTTATAACTAATGTATTTTCTGTTCACATATATATATTATTTATAAATGTAGAATTTTTTGTTCACGTATATATGATTTATAAATGTAGATGTTACTTACAATTATAATACAAACGTTTCATAAGTTTTTATACACTGTTCTCTCCAATGTCACAAAACAGTTTATAATTTTAGATGAAAGAATCTGATTAATCAATCACACTTAAAATATTGGTTTCTATACAACCAAATTAAAGACATCAAAATCCAATTCAGCATGCATACCTTACGGACAAATTATCACACAAAACACAACACTACGCCAATGGCTATAAGTATCAGCACACACTCTCAAGCTATAGTTTTACCTTATCCACGAGATAGACTGTCGTCCCTCTGTTAGAAGCCTCTTTGTCTATAGCCGTCCCTGGCTTAATAAAGTGTGATACATCAGCTATATGAACTCCAACCTTCAGAAAAAAATGTGAAAAATAGCCTAAACTCAATACTTTTCAAATTGTAAAGGCACAAATTTTACCAACATTTTCTGCACAACGGTCGAACAAATTATACATTACTACATCACACAATATCTCTAAATATTCAGCTCTACAGTATTTACGAATAACCACCTAAAATACTAAAAACTGGCCGACCTATTTCAACACGAAATTTATGTCTGTATCAAACTGAACATATTAAACGAGACAAATATTCTGTCTTAATTAAAGGTGCTTTAAATATTGAAGTTTTATAAGAACATGTACAACCATTTGGCTGATTACTTTTAATGATATTTTCAGGTAGAAAAAAGTTGAATACCACCCCCTGTTAGCAAAAAACCAAGTTAAGAATCGAGTCATATATATGGGATTATTACTCTTACAAGCAGAGCCAGTGGCGTACACTTTAATCAAGCTTAGTTAACCCTAATCTTCACAAATTATCAGTCGAGATAATACCCTGTGTTAAATCTGGCCGATGTCCCGGAACACGTGGTTTAGACCGTTATGAAGTATGTACAAGAAATTATTACAATAAAGTGAGCTTAAAATAATCTTACAGTTGCTTAATTGGTTGGTTTGTTGATTGGCATTTTTTTGCACGCGGCTACTGGACTATCTGCACCTTGTTTAAGTGAGTAGAATTAAACAACACCCGCTATTACAAAAGTTTCAGCCTGATACGTCCCCACGAAGAAACTTACCTCGAAATTTCCATTCGGTAACGTTCTACAGTGGAGAGCATCATCAATATCAGTGCAACCTGGTGGATCGACACTACAAACTGCAATGTGTCGCAAGTCTACACGAACCTTCTCATCCTACAGATAGATCGGGACACCCCAGAACAGATTAGTCAGAGCAAATTAATTTACAGAGAAACTGAAATATCTTTAGACTAACATAATTTAGTATTTCTATATTGATTAATCAACCTTTCTACATATAGTATGGAGAAACTTCAATTTTTTTATCCAGAAATACTTAGCACCTGATAAAGTGCATTGTCAAGTAAAATCTTTAAACACAAGGCTTTCATTTCTTATTAGCTGTTTTATTACTTTCTAGCACTTTTATTAAAAGTACGACAACAAGTAAATACTTTGAAATTTATAAATAATGTTATAAGTACATTGTATTTCTACGACAGAGAACTGGTTAGTTCTAAGGCAGTAGTCGAATAAAATTATACAAAAATCATAAATATGAATTGGTAAAGCAAATATTCATAAAAACAACAGAATATCAACAAATAATTTAAAAATCACGTATTATACCTTCTTTGTGTAAATCAAATTTGGCAGTATAAGGGTTTTTTTTCACAAAATACTTGTATCAACAAAATTAAAAACATCTCATCAACCTGTGTAACATAATCTACCAAACAAAATTTGTTCAAAACAAACCTCGGTTTGTGCAGGTAGCCATTCACACGGACAGCAATGTGTGGTTTCTAGAAAGTTCGAAAGGTGCTTTTCATAATTAACCTAGTTTCTAACAACAGCTTTAAATTTCTCTTGTACACTATTATCCATAGACTACACATGTTTTCAAAGCAAAAAGTAATAAATTTGTGTGTGTGTGTATATATATTGCCTATCATTGCAAGATGTGATCCCCACGGTAACAAAGTTTCAACTGAAAACTTGCAAGATGTGATCCCTATGGTAACAGTTTCAACTGAAAACTTGCAAGATGTGATCCCTATGTTAACAGAGTTTTAACTGAAAACTTTCAAGATGTGATCCCCATGGTAACAGAGTTTCAACTGAAAACTTGCAAGATGTGATCCCTATGGTAACAGAGTTTTAACTGAAAACTTTCAAGATGTGATCCCTATGGCAACAGAGTTTTAACTGAAAACTTGCAAGATGTGATCCCCATGGTAACAGAGTTTTAACTGAAAACTTGCAAGATGTGATCCCTATGGTAACTGTTACACTATAAGCATTTTCCACAGTTCCATCCTTAATCAGACACCATTTAAAAATTAGTGTAAAACATACATCAATTATACACACACACATAGCTTTATTAAATCTTCCTTAACAATGTTTTAAAAACAAATATATCTTGGTAAGAATAATCAATACAAAAACTTTTACACTGAAATCTAAACAAGCAGAATAAAAATGCACCTCTTCAGTGATGATCCATGGTAACTTGGGTAAGCAGGCAAGAACAGCTTGAGAGAAATTTTGATGTGGAATATCATGTTCTAACAGCAATACCTCATTCTCAGCCTCCTTGTCTCCGATGTCACCCAGAGTGCGGACATAATGACCCTGATGAAATAACCACAGCCTCAGATTTTAAGCACTGAAGACATTGACCACATACACACACAAAAATAAGTATTCAATAACACATTATGTTAAAACAGTTTGTACATTTTTTTTTTGTTTTTCAGTCCAAAGGCCACTATGACCAATGGGACACCATTGGTGATTCTCGGGCAGATTTTACCCGGTGATGTCAATTTACTCTCCATGTAGCCATCTCTATATTAGCAGTGAAAGACGAGAGAGAGAAGGCAGCTCCTCAATACCACTCCATTTTCATCAAAATAACTCTTTGTTTGGAAGATGTCTTAACACATACATAGTGATTTCAAACAAATTAGTAGATAATAATATGGAATAGAATATAAAGAGAATATAAAATATATAGTAACTGACAAAAAACTGCCATTGTAATATTATATTGTTTGGTATGCTCGTTAAATGCACTGTCTTTTTTTTTTTTTTATTAACAATCAAACAGTATTTTTATGTGAACAGCGTAAGAAAAAGTGAAACTAATTAAAAATACACAATATTGAATGTCAGCATCGAAATGATACAAAGAAAACTGTAAACACATCTTGACAAATCGTAACTTTGCACTTTGTTCTTGTTCTCCATTTGATTACTTTTGTTTATGTTTGATGCTGAAATTTGATACGGCATAGCTCTTTTGAATTTTTAAATTAAGTATTTTTCATTCATTCTTATTTTCATCTTCACTTGATGTATAAATCACATGAAAAAAAAAACATGTACTTTTTTATAAAAAAATTATCATTTTCAAAACATGTATTTCGCTATTTTATTCATTCGAAAAGGTCACAAAAGATATAACCTCAACTAATAAAAGAACGTGAAAACTACTTACGTGGGGGTATTTAGAATCCCTGGACCACCCATCAATAGCTACAACAATTATTTTATTTTTCAGAGATTCTCCTTGCCTGGTCTCAATTCGTATTTTAGGAATTCGTTTTTCAGACGGAAGAAAAAGATGACGGGTTGCCTACAAGATTTTAAACAAAATTGTTGATTAAAATAAAAGTATACAGAAAAAAACTTATAATTAAATCTCCCAAGAAATTACATTCCCATCACCAGTTTTAGTATTAGTATTTAACAAAATGAAATATAAATCCTAAACAAAACCACTTGATTTTCGCTTTTAAAAAACAAACAATGAGAGATGAACTGAGCTTATAGGCGAATATCGTATCTCTTTATTGAATATACATAAATTTGGAAGTTGATATTGAATGGTCTACAGATACATCAATACATACCTCTTTAATAGGAGAAGCTTGAAGAATTCCACAGTATTGTCTCCAGTTTCTTCGAATAATCCCAACAACTTTGCCAGTTGGAACAGCTTCAGTTTTTGTTCTGTCCTTTTTAACGAGCATCTTTAAGATCAATCAAACACTTGTATGAACATACGAGGCAAAGGCTAGCCACTAATACAATATATACAGCTTTTAAAATGAAAAAAAAGAAGCCAACAATAAACAATAGGAGTGTCATACCATGATCTCTCTCTCACTTCTTAAAACAAAAAAAAAACAAGAGGAAATCCTCAATGGCCGTGACCGTAATTAGATCTCAAATCGGTCAAGAGATGGAGCTATTACCTAAAAGTTTTACTTGAACAAAAACTCAGGGCCATTCTATGAGCCGAAGCTACAAAAACGTTTACTACTAACTTGCACTAAAGTAACATAAATTACAAATAATTAACAAACTACATTTTAAAAAGAGAGAGAATTGGATGCTGTAAAGCTTTGTAAAAATGAATGTTTGATAAAAATAAAAATACAGCTACTGAAACACCTAAAAAAGAAGAAAAAATTCACCTCATCTTCCTTATCATCTTCATCATCATCTGGATTAACAGATTCGTCCTGAAGAACTACAGTTGATGGATTGGACCATCTGTCCTTAGACAGGAGCTCAACACCAACAATGTCACCGTGTACAGCACGATTGACATGCTCTCGTCCTTGTAGCAAAATCTGAAATGAAATCACATTGACATTAGTTACTCGATACATCAACACCCTAATAGAAATCTTAATAACTTAATGGGACAAAAACTTCTACACATATACGATTAACCAAGTTTACTATGGAGTTTTTCTTATTTAACTATTAGACTTACCTTAGATATCACAGATTGCTACTGAAGTTTACCATAAGCTAACTCTATAGAATACTATTAGCTCACTGACATGGTGTAAAAGATTGAACTGATTTTTGTATAGAATACTATTAGCTCACTGACATGGTGTAGAAG